TTCTTGCCCAGTTTCCCTTGCTCGCATTTCTCGACAGTGTATCCTCTGCCCCGTCGCAGTTTTATCCCTTAGTCGCAAAAATGGACGTCTGTACCTTTTCAAGCTGGACCCGCCTTCACTATTTTGACCTCTCGCTTTAACGCAAACTCCGTGATTGTTGGAATACATTGTATTCGACTAGAACAACAACCACAGGCGCAACTATTTTATAGAGCAAGTATTCGGTAGGGGCAACACCATAAACGCAACTGGCCAATGAAAGAGTTGCAGTCAGCATGTGAAAAATGCATCGCCACCAATAGAAAATTGAAAGATCAAGTCTGTCAGCTCATGAGTGGGAGACAATGCATCAAATTGGGTGTGGTTATCCCACTCCTTGACACGCATTGCGACACGTGTGCGACCCGGGGAATGAGGGCCAGTCACAGCAAACGACAGGGTCCCCGCCCCTGAACAGTACGCATACGTCAGCGCTCCAACAACCTCGGAGCACGATAGGTGCAATTTTGCCCGGGCCACACATGCCTATTTGACTAGTGCAAATTCCAACAATCATGGAGTTCGCATTAAGAGAATACGACCTGTACGCGGTTGCCACTCAAGACAGCAAACCTTATCACATGGCAGACCACATGACGAATCAAACGAACCAGTCGGCAGTTGCGCTAGAAATGTCATGGCAACCACCACAATACAATGGCAGCACATGAGGCGGGAAAAAGTGGTGCCTGCTCTATGATGGGCAGGGAACAAGGGTGCCTCCTCTCATCGGGTATGAGCAATGAATGAAAGAAAGGGGGAGAAAAGAAGTGGCTACACGATGGAATGCATGGCTGAATCAACAGCAGTAGGACAAATGCGGTGGGCATCAGGCGCATATGAAAGACCACTGATACATGTATGATTAGCGAACGAACCTATCAAAAGCGGTTACACATGTACAGCAGCATCGCGCCTACGATTAGTTGTCGTCGTCATCATCTGGCGAATACATGCATGAGCAACTGAACTTAAAAATTCGTAGAATCAGCACGAAGTCGATGCCATGTCAGCCAAAGCAGCAGCATCCCGCCAGCGAACTTCATGTGGGGCTTGAGGTCTGGCCTTGCGGATTAATCAGGGCATGATACCTTCTCAGAAAATGCAGAAGTTTGAATGTCAACCATGCTGCACCGTAGTAAAACTAAATCAACAACAGCCAGACGTGTACGACCCCTCTATCAGTTCGAACTTCGGTCCTATTTCGGTAAAAATGTACCACACTCTTAGCAACGAGTGGTGACTCGCTAGCACTCTTCTAGCTTAGCACCAAACAAAGTACTAGAATTCTTTAGGGAAGACAATTCAAGGTTATTTGACACATGCTCTTCTTTACCCTCTTCATCCATACTCTCTCCTACTCAGTCTCCCCCAGAATCGCCTGATCTGCTCTTCTTTTTCCAAGACATGTGTATTTCCAAGCTTTGCCGAATCTGTCCACCTCATTTACACTTTTATTATGCATTAGGAGGTGTAACAAGTTACTTTATGTACACTATCATTTTGGAAACTGCAGTTGTTGGCGGTGTGCCCCTCTGTGCTGAACATAAGCTTCCGATTGCCGAGTCTTCTGCACACCACTGTGAAAGGTCGAGAAAGCAACCTCTTTATTGACGAAATTGCTGGGGATGAATCTTAAATATTTCACATTTGAATATTTATGCACCTTCAGCTCTTCAATAAATTCCACTACAGCACCCGATAGTGATGCAGTATCGGTTTTCAACCCCATGTTTGCAGGGCAATTTTGATAGATCCAGGAGCCAGGAATGGGTGCTTTCAGTCGTTTGAGCCCATCACTGCACGTTAACATACCACATAAATCAAACAGAGTTAAATCACGTTAAAACGAGACAACACATGGTACAGGGCAACATCCCCACACTACGTGCATACAAATGACAGAGGTAAATATGAGCAGACAACTGTTCATGGAAGCAATATTACCTGACCTTGTGCCGAATAATATTCTCCATGGCTCTTTGGCGGCTGATAGGCGGCTGCCTCACGCCAAGCCTTTCACCACTTGTCAGGGCCACCACTTGGCTTGTCAACAGGTACAGCAACTGAACCAGCCATTGGCACTGCTTGCACTGTGGTAGCTCTTAGGTTAGAAGTGGGGGCAGCAACTGGGTCAGCCATCAGGGTTGGACACGCTATGATAACTGTAGCAACTCTAAGTCGGCTATAGCTTCCGCGTGAAACTACAGCTCCCAGGCAACGAAATGGCAAACGCGTTCACAGCAAGCCAACCTTGCTCGTGACTGATGTCGACGTCCTACCGCTAGCTCGTAGCAAGGACTCCTCACATATGGCTACAAAACGCAGTCGTACTCAGCGCTCGGACTCCGATGTGCCAACTCGCCGATCGCTTCCGGCCGACGGGATTTCGCCTTGCAAGGACTCCTTGCACTAGGACTATATAGAAGCACTAGGCTCTATGATAATCTCCTTGTGGACACGAATCCAACGCTATGCTCGGGTTTGTTAGAAGTCGTGATTACGCACTTCTGTAATCTTCACAACTCAATTGTGTTAAACAAGCAAACATACAAACGATTGTATAGTAAACCAGAATGACAATTCGCGTGTCGTAACTACCAAGGGCGCTTCGAGTAACGAGCGTGCCTTGTTACGTTTCGGGTCGCACACGCAACCGAATCGGAGTACGGTCCGCGTGTTTCAACACCGACACCGACCCCAAGTTTGGTGCCACTGAATTCGCACCATCTGAAATCCCATTTTCTTCCGCAACTCCTCCCTGATAAGAATTGAGATAAAGACAAAAGAGTATGATTGTATGGTCGAATAGGGCAAGAGTTCAATAGTAGAACTGTAGCACGTATCAATAAGATAATAATGTGCTTGTAAAGAAATAAAGGAAAGGTACTCAAGTGAGTACAAGGGGACTTGTTGAGGAAGAGATGCTTGTGAAGAAGATTGAGAGACTTACTTATGTGTGTCTCACAAAGTAGAGACGTAGAATCTTGGGAGTGCCTCTTGATAGAGGAAGACTTGCACTTGGGAAAGAGTCTTGAGCTTGGGAGAAGACCACAAGCTTGAGAGAGGACCACAATCTTGGATGTGGTGTTGAAAGAAAGTGTCTTGTACTTGAAGAGTGAAGATGCCACAAGGTTGAGTGTTGAAGAGGAGAGTCTTCCTACAATCTTATGGCTTGGTGATGCATCTTATACTCAAGTTGGATATAAGATGGACTAGTGCTTGATTACTTTGTTAAACTAGGAGCTTTGTGAGAGAACTTTGAGAGCATAAACTTATATGAAAGAGGGTATAGTACAAGCCTTATACTGTAATCCATGGTGGATACAAGGACATGCATGAGAGAGAGACCACTCATAGTAGTCTAGGAAGAAAGGTAGCATGATAATACCATCTCTAGAGACATAGAACATGAATGCTAGCAAGGAGCCTTTGTAGTGGTGTGAACTTGAGGAGCTGGAAGAAGACTTGAAAGAGAGCTTGAAGGAGAGGAGCTTGGAGATGCTTTGTTGGACTTTGAGAAACTTCTTGAGAAGTTAGAGATGATTCTTGGTAAAGGTGAATAGTAGCGGATCATGTGATGGCTGTTGAGCCTTTGGTGACTCGGAGTTGTAGACCATGTGGTGTTGGAGAGAAACTTGGATGAGTTGGAAAGGAAGGAAAAGAGGAGGAATGAAAGCTTTGTTGAGTTGGAAGGTGAGGAATGCAAGGAATCATGAGAGTCTTGTGTGATAATGTAGCAACTTGGATGACTTGGGATAGGAAGGAATAAATAAGGGGCATGTGGAGGTTGATGAGTAGGGAAGGGAGGAATGTGCTTGAGGCATATGTGAGGAGGATTATTGGTTGGAGTATATGACTTGGAGAATTCTTGATGAGTAGGAAGAGAGAGCATATGGAAAATGATGAAGATTCATGTGCCTTGAGGTGGGAGTTGGAGATGAATAGGAGGATTTGTTGGAAGCTTCGTTGAGGTGGACTAGGAATGATTATGAGAGTTGGGGAAAATTAAGGAGTAGTTGGGAGGCCTTAGGTTGGAGGAGATGAGCTGGAAAAGTTGGGTTGAAAATTTGGTAGGTAGAGTAGGTTTGGTAGGTGGGAAATGGGTTGGGGTAGGTGAAGAATTGTAACGAGCAGGTTTGGAGGGGAAGGGGTTGTAGTGGCGAGAAAAAATGTGGCACGCGCATCACGTGCCACTCACAACACTCCCGTAACTCCACATGCACACTTTCTTCACACCTTCCTTCCCACTCCTTTCCCTTTTTTCTCGCCACCACTCCCTAATGAACCACCGCACTTCTTCCAAAGTACCACCAATATTCCTCAATCACCATCATGCTCATCCATTCCTTCCAGTTTCTTGCATATTTCCCCGCTGTTTCCTCAACCGACTTTCTTTTCGTTCCCACCGTCAACTAGTAGAAATTGTTTGCCTAAGAATATGGTCGCCACCCCCAGGTCGCCCTAGTGGTTGGCGAACCACTTCCAATAACCTCCCCTGTGGTTCGTCAACCACCACATCCTCTACCTCTTACTCCGCTAATATTCGTGACCCATCAACAGTTTGCTCGCTCTGCTTCATACTCCTCAACTGCTGCCTTGCTGTGCTTATACCTATGCGCTGCAGCTCCCCTGCACCCCTGATGTTAGTATGGAAACATTCTCTTGCATCCTGAACGGTCCTTCACACATCTGATCATTCTCTTCTCCGTCCCCACTCGACGACCACGCCCAACGTAACCCCTAAGGTACTTCAAGGTATCACCTTCCAAGTCCGTATAGAGATCATAATCCCATATGGTGAAGTGTTTTGCGAGCCTCTTAACCCTTAGCTCCTCGTGAAGACTCCACCCTTGTTGCACTGCTCCTTTCTCAGAAAGAACATGAGATTATTATCATTCCCAACCTCCTCCCAGAGTGAGTTTTGCGTGAGATGAAAGCCTGTTGGTCCTTCTACTACTGCCTCAGCTGCTGCTTTCTTCTCAGCTTCTGCTGTTCCTCTTCTCCATTGAGCAGAGACTCCTCCTCACTCTCCTCTTCTTCTTCTTCTTCTTCTTCTTCTTCTTCTTCTTCTTCTTCTTCTTCTTCTTCTTCTTCTTCTTCTTCTTCTTCTTCTTCTTCTTCTTCTTCTTCTTCTTCTTCTTCTTCTTCTTCTTCTTCTTCTTCTTCTTCTTCTTCTTCTTCTTCTTCTGGTTATTCCTCCGATGGTGCCTCCTGAAACCTTTCAAACATATCATCTACTACAGCCCTTCCACGTTCCTGTGCCCTCCTTCCCTCCTCATGTGTAGGCTGCCGCTTGCTCATTGCTGCTGCCATACCCTGCTCGGTCACTCGCATCTCATACATCCCCTCTCGCACTATTTCCTCGGCTATCATGGTCCACTGAGGGTCAAGTACCCACTTTTCTCCGTTGTTGCTGAAAATCTTGTAACCCGCCTCGTCTAGCTGAGACAGAGTGATCAAGTTCATCTTCAACCCTTCTAATAGCAGCACACTCTCTAGTTTCAGCACCCTACTATGACCTTGCAGCACCACTTCTCCTTCCCCCTTTACTGCTAATACCCCATTGTCGACGACCGTTATAACTTCCAAACTTGACTCGCATAGTCCCTGAATCCATTCGCGGCAATAAGTCGCGTAGTGGAAGCATCCGCTGTCCATGAACCAAATAGGATGTGCACCTTCTTCGATCTGCATGGTCACTGCTGCAACGCGCACAGTGCATGCCATATGTGCTCCCCCCAGGATAACATCCTCCTTGTCTTCTACTACTGTTGCTGCTACATTCACCTTTGCCGGTGCAACATTCTGTTCTCCTGTCTGTCCCTTGAAATTCTTGCTGTTGGGATTCGTGTAGCAGTCTGCTGCCCGATGACCCTGTTTCCCACAGTGGTGACAGCTCCCATAGAACCTCCCACTCTGCTGCACCTGATCCCCTCTGCTGCCTCCGCTCCCCTTGTAGTTCCTGCTACGTGGGTTGTCGGGGCAGTCAACCGCTCGATGTCCTGGCTTCTCACACTGATAGCAGTTGCCCCTGAACCTCCAAAATGTTGTTGCATTCACCATCCCTGGCTTCTCCTCCTCCATCACATTTGCTGCTGCTTCCTTCAGGTTCCTTGCCCCTTTCACCCTCTCCAACGACTGCAATGCTTCCAGAACTTCATCATACTTGCAGGCGGTGAGTAGGTGAACATACTGATGTCCGAATCCCATTCCTGTGGAAGTCCCTAGATGATATAGCCAATCATCTCCTTCTCCGATTCCGCCGCTCCCATCGCTTTCAAATTGTCGTAGCTCTTGGCCCTGTTCACGTACACGATGATGTGCTCATCCTTCCCCATGCTCAGCAGCAGCAGCTGCTTCCTCACTGCTGCTTTGTCAGCATCTGTTACTTCCATGTAAGTGGACTCCATGTACTCTCAAACCAGCTATGCAGCGTTCATCTCCCCTGCGAAGTCGTCCAACCCAGCAGCAATGATGTCCGCCACTGAATGGCACAGTTGAAAGAAGGACTGCTTACTCCGCTTCTTGTACACTGCGATTTTCTCCAGCTCCTTTGTTGCAATCGGAGGAACGCCTTCACTTGTTGTCTTGTCAAGGTAGTAGAACGACCACAGCCCGACCTCCTCAGCCCGTTGGATGAATTTCAGTTGCCACGTTGTGTAATTCTTCCCACAGAAGCATTGGGCTTCGTTCAGCCGAATCGTCGGCTTCGCCACCAGATGCCCCTTCGCAAGGGCCTCGAGAAGAGCCTACACATGTGAGTCTTCCATGTTCTTGGAGAAACCCGGCTGCACCTCGCTACTCGTCGGCATAACACCTCCTTTGCTTGCACACACTCGATGCACTTAGCGCACTAAATGCACGCGTCCGTCGCGCAGCAATGTTGCCAGGAGTTCGGACCTCGCTCTGATAGCAGTTCTAAGTCGGCTATAGCTTCCTCGTGAAACTACAGCTCCTAGGCAGCGAAATGTCAAACGCGCTCGCAACAAGCCAACCTTGCTCGTGACTGATGTCGACATCCTACCGCTAGCTCGTAGCAAGGACTCCTCGCCTACGGCTACAAAATGCAGTCGTACTCAGCGCTCGGACTCCGATGCGCCAACTCGCCGATCGCCTCCTGCCGACGGGATTTCGCCTTGCAAGGACTCCTTGTACTAGGATTATATAGAAGCATTGGGCTCTATGATAATCTCCTTGTTGACACGAATCCAACGCTATGATCGTGTTTGCTAGAAGTCGTGATTACGCACTTCTGCAATCTTAAGAACTCGATTGTGTTATTAAATGACAAACATACAAGCGATTTTATACTCAACCAGAATGACAATTCGCGGGTCATAACTACCAAGGGCGCTTTGAGTAATGAGTGCACCTTGTTACGTTTCGGGTCGCACACATAACCGAATCGGAATACCGTCCACGTGTTTCAACACCGACACCGTCCGAAATGGCGGAATTGCGCGGCTCCGCGAGACCGCGTCCTCAATTAACATTTTCTACCCGTTTTTCTCACGGCCCGGGCAACCCCAATCTCGGATAAATATTTTCTACGCGCGAGTCGGGAAATGCGAAAGTTACGGAATTTGAAATTGTGTAAACTGTATTTGGGATTTAGTGATTGCCCTTGAATTACCAGCCAATTGGACAGGCATCTGTAACAGTTGTGCCACACTTCAACAGTGCTGCAAGGGGGAGATACGATTCATACTTAGAAGGGCGCTGGCGTGCATGAATGTGCAGTCGGGCGGTGTACTGTCATTGAGCGCGGCACAATAGTGGATGTTGTTTCGGAAATGGAATTGTAATCATTACTAGCTGGGTCAACCCGGCAATGTTTCGTCCAACCCCACGCACAGACGTACGAAATCTCGTTAAGTTTAGCGGAGCTTGTCCAAAATTCGTGGGTAGGCCTCTGAATCAGCTTTGGTTACCTCGGTGACATGCGGGGCCGAATTCATCAATTGCCTTCAATACTCGCGAACTCTACACATCGATCGTCCCACCCGCAACATTTTGGCGGGCAACTCCGATGATCAGGGAAGAATGGGCTGCATGGTGCTTAGCAAGAATATCACTTGCGCACCACCAGGTACATTAACTAATCATTCCTTCATATGCGTTCATTTGCACAACCCCTGGATCTACGGATCCATAAATTTGCGGGTTTTCCCGGAAAATCGTCACACACCACAACACCCAGTAATGCTTGGTGGTGTGAATGAATCTATGAGATGCTAAGGGCATTTCTTACGCTTCGCATGCCAGGATTACCGACTTCGACGTGCTTGTCAATTGTGTCTCTGGAGATGGTTCCCTTTCGTTAGCGTTACGGTGTTGTGACTAATGGCTGACGGGGCCTGCGAGGAGGGCTTGCGTTGGATGCATGGCGCTCCCACATTCGAACCCACCATCGAGCATCCCGACAATACCACACCGCTAGCTAAAGGGGCCTGTTACACTTCACGCGACCAGACGTGGCTAGCTGTATTACTCCATGCCTTGGAGCACAAGTTCGGGATCGGTTGTTTGCAAGTTAAGAAAAACTCAGCCTTGGTCGTGTGCAAGTCTACCATCCTGAAGCAGAAGCAGACATGTCTGTGGTACGGATGATGGAGGTATGAGCCACCTCCCACTCTCTCGCGCTCATCGTGTCTCTCCTGTCCAGCGCTCTCATCCCATGTTGCTCCATTCCACGCGTCTCGTCCTCCCCTCCTCCCCTCGCCCCCTCCATCGTCGCTCGTTGTCGCTCCGCCTCCTCTGTCTGTCCACCTTCATGTCTCTCGTCCTCTTGTTCCTCGGGTCCTTGCCTCCCTCGTTACCGACCCGTCTGTTCCTGTCTTGAGTTTTGACGCTCTTGTCGCTGCTGTTGCTGACTTCGCCTCTACGCGCCGCCTTAACTATGCCACAGCTCTGGTCTCTAGCCCTGCCTGTCCTCCATCCGACGGGGGTGCTCCTGCCCTTGGCAGTGACGTCCTAGAGGACAGGCAGTACGAGCTTGCTTTCCTGTCCGAGGCTGCTCCCCATCTCTGTTCCATGCTGCTAGTCCCTAAGGTTGACCCAGACGCCGTTGACATCCTGACCCCTCGCACTTACGCTGAGGCAACCTCGGGACCCTGGTCCACTCAGTGGATAGCTGCCATGGAGCAGGAGATGGCATCTTGGAGATCCACCAGCACATACGTCGACGCAGCTCCCCCACCTAGGGTGAACGTAGTTGATGGCCGGTGGCTCTTCAAGGTGAAGTGCCCCCCTGGAGAGCCGCTTGTGTTCAAGGCGCGCTACGTGGCTAGAGGCTTTAGTCAGCGAGAGGGTGTGGACTTCTTTCAGCCCTTCGCCTCGACCCCGAAGATGACTACTCTTCAGGCGCTACTACACGTAGTAGCACAGCGTGACTACGAGCTTCACTCCCTCAACTTCTCCACAGCGTTCCTTCAGGGCAGCCTACATGAGCAAGTCTACCTGCGCCATCCACAGGGCTTTATCGGTACCATCCCCCCTGGGACCCGGTGGCTCCTCCGGCGTCTGGTCTACGGCCTGCGACAGGTGCCTCGTGAGTGGCACGACACGTTGCGTGCTACGCTAGCTGACCTGCATTTCTTCCTGTCGTCTGCAAACCCCTCGCTCTATGTTCATGCTGGCCAGACCCCGTTCTACATCCTTGTCTACGTAGACGACCTGGTCTTCACTACTGCAGACAGAGACGCACTGGCCTCCGTGAAGGCCGAGCTGCTGAGGAGACACACTTGCACTGACCTAGGAGAGCTGCACTGCTGCATTGGCCTGCAGATCTCCAGAGACAGAGCAGCGCGCACCATCAGTCTCACATAGTCACACTTGGTGCACCAGGTCCTTCAAAGATTCGGTCTCCAGTTCTCCTCTGCACAACCCACGCGTCTGCCAGTAGACCATTGGCTCTCGGCTCCATTTCCTGAGGAGTCAGTAGAGCCTAGTGGCCCCTACGCAGAGCTGGTGGGTTTTCTCATGTACCTTATGACTTGCACTCGTCTAGATCTTGCATACCCTCTCAACATCCTGGCATGCTTTGTGGCCACAAGGAGACACCGACCACAACACTGGTCGGCAGCTAAGGGGATTTTGCATTATCTAGCAAGTACATCGCCCATGGGACTCGTTGTGGGAGGACGCTGGCCAGTGGTCCTTACTGGGCACACAGAGGCTTCGTGGGCAGACGATGCTGAGATACTCAGGTCTTCCCAGGGCTACTGTTTTAGCCTTGGTTCA